TTATTAGCCTAAACCCTATTAGTCGTTGCCTTTGATAATAATCTATTTTCCTCCACCCTGGCCGGTGGTGGAGCATCATTCTGTGCACTGGAAGGGCTTGGTTTCGATCAGGGTGTGTACAGGAAGCCAACCAATAGATGTATCTCTTTCACATTTTTTTTTTTCTCTCTCTCTCTGCCCCCCACACCCCTCCCTCCCTCTCTAAAATCAATTAAAATTTTTATGATTTCAGACATGAGGGAGGGAGAGAGAGATAAAAACATCAATGATGAGAGAGAATCATTGATTAGCTGCCTTCTGCAGTCCCCTTACTGGGGATCGAAGCCCACAACCCGAGCATGTGCCCTGACCGGGAATGGAACCATGACCTCCTGGGTCATAGATTGATGTTCAACCACTGAGCCATGCTGATTGGGCTCTAAAATCAATTAAAATTTTTTTTTAATAAATAAAAAAAGCCTGGCCAGTGTTGCTCAGTGGTAGAGCATCTACCTATGCACCAAGAGGTCCCCAGTTTGATTCCTGGTCAGGGCACATGCCCGGGTTGTGGGCTCAATCCCCAGCAGGGGGCGTGCACAAGGCAGTTGATCAGTGTTGATGCATCAATGGATGTTTCTATCTCTCCCACTCTCTCTAAAATCAATAAAAACATTAAAAAAAATTTAAAGAAATAATCTATTAACGTTTCTTAATTATCACTACCTTCTCTGTAGTTCATAAATATGCATACAAATATGCACATTACATACTTATTACCATATATTTATTTTAAGGAAAAGTACATTTTATACAAAAATGAAACATTATACTTCTGCCGAGAACCAACTGAGGTTAAACCTAAGATAGAACATACAACGCTGCAATTTTACTTATTTATTTTATTATTTTTAATTTATTTCAGAGAGGAAGGAAGAGGGAGAGATAGAAACATCACTGATGAGAGAGAATCATTGATCGGCTACCTCCTGCACTCCCCCTACTGGGGAATCAATCCCTGATCTCCTGATTCATAGGTCAATGCTCAACCACTTAGCCACACCTGCCAGGCAATGCTGCAATTTTAGAGCTGGAAGAACTCTTAGGTTTCATCTACACAAGAGCAACTCATTTACAGATAAGAAAAGAGATGCCTGGAAAAATTATATGGCTTGACAACAAGCACTTAACTAGTTAACAGGAGAGCCAGGTCTAGATTCTTGGTTTCCTGACTTCCAGAGCTCTTTCCCTTAAAACGCAAAAATTTCAAGGGAGAGGATGTTAGGCCAAAAGTACATTACTACACTAAAGCTTTAGGGAGTAAAAGAAGATTTGGTCAAGCAAACCTTTGCAAAATGAAGTATCAGAAATTTAAAGAATTGATGTTCTGAACATCCCACAAGTAAATTTTATCCTTTTCCTTATATAAAGCTTTTTATTTTTTAAATTCTTACCAGATAATATTTTTCCATTGATTTTCAGAGAGAGTAGTAGGAGAGAGAGAAACATCAATGTGAGAGAGACACATAGATTGGTTGCCTCCACCATGAGCACTGACCTGGTGGGCGGGGATTGAGCCTGCAACTGAGTTACGAGGTGCATGCCCTTGACCAGAAATTGAACCTGAGACCCTTCGGTCTGCAGGCTGACGCTTTAACCAGTGAGCAAAACCGGCCAGGGCATATAAATCCTCTCTGAAATCAAATTCAAATATTTTTTTAAAATACTTTATGATCCACAGAAAACACACATAATGTTAAAATTTAAAAAGAAAATAATTAGAATTCAAAGTCTGGGGTTTTTCTTATCTTTCTTGGAAATCATGCTGATCAAGGAAGGAAAGCTAGATATTAAGCAAATTTGGAGCCAAAGGATTCATATGTCACTGACATAGCTGAAGAAAAAAAATATGAAAAGTGAAAATAAGACTATCTCCTTAAAGTATTTTTATAAACCGATAGATTAAGAGGAGAAGACAAACTTAGAGAGTTTTATTTGAAACCTAAAGCAGTTATGGACACTTCACTATTTGACATTTGTATTAATGATCTGGAAATTTCATATTTTCTACACTGAAAATAGGTAGCCTAATTAGTATTGTTGCAAAAAGGATCCAAATTCAAAATGATACAAAGTTGGTTTTGTCAGCTTATTTCAAATATGTCTACAGTGACAAGTTGAGTAAATTTTCCTGAAAAAATTTTAAAAAAGATATTTAAGTATTTTAAAAAGAATACCACCAGAATAGATTCAAATGTCATATTTAACCTGGTAAATATCTTAAAAAGAAAAAAAATGGGTAAAAAACGTTTCAACCAGTATGCATGAAGAATAAAAAAATCAAAACTGTTTAGTTAAAGAGGTCATAAATTTTATGAAGACATATATGAACTCTCTGGAAAGGACCGATGCAAAAAAAAGCATCATACTTTCAAAAAGTGATTGAGGGATGAGAGCCCTGAGATAGGATGTAAGGTTTATGTTTTAAATGCAAACTACTGAGTATCATATATTTTCTGACTGGTAGGAGGTAAGTTCCCTATCAATTAACTATTAATTCCAAAGGAACAAAAGAGTAAAAGACTAATGACAATGTAAGTTATCACCAAATGTTCATTGAGTTGAATTTATAGTTTCATTCTTTCAGTTTAGTAAGTAACATGAAAACAACTAAGGCATGAAAAATTACAGGTGATAAAGAACTTAAGTAAAATAAAATAAAAAGGTCAGAGCTAGGTGGGGCCCTAGGAGATTGCTAATGTTTTAAACCAGAGCCCCACTTGGTTTCACTGCAGTGGGAAATACTTTTGATATCATAATAAGCTAATTATTAATAACTAGAGACCCAGTGCATGAAATTCATACACGGGTAGGGTCCCTAGGCCTGGTCGGCAATCAGAGCCGATCGGGGCCTTCTGGCTGCCGGCCAGGGCCTTCTTTCCCCAGCTGCTGGCCGGGGCCTTCCTTCACTTTGCGTCGCCCCCTGGTCGTCAGTGCACATCACAGCAAGTGATCAAACCCCTGGTCAAACTCCCAAGAGGACACTTTGCATATTAGCCTTTTAGATAGATAGATACATAGATAGATAGATAGACAGACAGACAGACAGACAGACAGACAGACAGACAGATAGATAGATAGATAGATAGATAGATAGATAGATAGATATAGATAGGAAAGGATCAAAGGGAAGGCCAGACATTTATGCATGTTCCCTGCAAAACAATGGAGGAAGGGGACTAGACAAAGGGAAGACAGACGCATGCCCAGTAAAGTTGGGATGACTAGGGAAGGTGATTTTCTGTCAGTCACACCTGGGAACAGAGGTCTTTGGCCGGAATGGGTGTGGCTTGGCTCATTTGGGACTCCTGTGACTCTGGGCTTGTGGATCTTGCTTCCTTGCATTCATCCACATAGCCATGCACACAATGGACTAATGGACTGCAACTAGCCTGATGCTGAACTGAAGCTGTCTTCAACATGGAAAGGAAACTCTGGACACTGGCTTTGCTTCTAGCTCTACTGAAACCCCAGCTTTACTTCTTCTATGACTAGAGACGTAATTCCATGCAAACAAACAACACTCATGCTCCTGTGCAAGTCTCAGAAAATTTCTTTTCTTGGGATATCGCAAGGGCTCCACCCCCAGCAGCACCCAATGGGGAAGAGGACCCCACTTTGTCCGGTGTCACCAATACTCTTCCAGAGACCGAATTGGGAGGCTAAAGAGTAGAAATTCAGATGGAATGTGTGTTAGAAAAAACAAAGACAAGCTGTAACACTAAAATAATTGACCCAAAGTTCTAGACCTAGTAGAAGGGCTTGCAAACAAAGGAAGTACCTCTGTTACCACCACTGTTCTGTGAGTCTCTCTTTAATCGTCATTAATCTCAACTGTATATAGGCTTAGGTTATATCCTGAGCCACTCATACTGTAGTAAGGTAGAGTTTGAATTGATTTTGTGAAGGAATCCAGTGGGCAAGACAGAAGTGCTGCTTCCAAATGTCAACTAAATATGGAAATGGTATAACCCCAAACACTGAGATCCTCTGAAGGATGATATAAAAGTCTATTGCCTCTTGAGTGGGTCTATCAGAGATGAAAGACCTTTATTTTACTAGAAGACAAGACAAAAGGAATGTGATTAAAGAAAGTGGCCTTAGTGGCATTTATTAAGTAGAAAAACAGTAAGAAAGAGAGTGAACTCTACAAATTTTCAAAAATAGACTCAAAAGTATGTAGTTCAACAAGTTATAAATTTGAGACTCAAAATTCAATTCTACATTTTTGGGGACTGATGACGCAGCCCAAGAAATTGAAATATGAGGAGAATCTTATTTGCTACAATTTTTTACCACCACAACAAAGATTATCCAATCTAAAATGTTGATAGCGCCAAAGTTGAGAAATCCTGCTCTCGGTGTCACCCTTGCGCCCTACACCAAGAAAATTTAACAGAGTTCTAGTTGCCACAACACAAAGCCAGCTCTAATAAGGTAAAATGTAGCTTAATATCACTATCATTGGTGGGTAATCTACCTGTAACATGCATTGAGACACCACACCCTCTGGAATCTCAGGGAAACGTTGTCGGAGGTCAAGGAGAACCTGCATATCAAGCTGTGGACTGCTTTGCGCCATGCCAGAGCAAATGGTGGTCAAGTTTCTCTTAGGAAATGGATGCTAACCGGCTTTCCAATAGCAATGGTCTTCCAACACCGCAGTCATTTTCTATTAAAAGAAATTAAGGTATGGTTAAATTTAATTACATATTTCATTTTATTCAAAGAGAAACCATTAATATATTAAAATGGAAGGTTGGAAATGGACAAATTCAACCTAGCCAAAGACTTTTCTGATGTAATATAGCCATTACTGGTTTAAGCACAAGTGAGAAAAGCCAACCCCCCCCCCAACTTCAATTTCAGTTAATTGTTAAAAAAAAAAAAAGCTGTTACATTAAAAATACATAGTAGTATTATCTGGCAACCGTACTTTCCCAGCCTTGAGAAATCCTACTTATATATATAATCAGTCATGTTTTCCCAAGGGCTATCACATCACTTCTCTAAAGCAGCACAATTATTTTGATGTCTGAAATAATAAAATAAGAAAACAAGGACTTGATAATATCACCACAAAGCATGCCTGTCCTGTTTGCCTTATATTCTCCCTGTACTTTGAAGCCAAAAGGTTTGAATTTGAAGTCTGAGTGAAGGAAACCCAATATCTAAATGAAATAACTGGGCAAAAAAAGGAAATATGCAATTCTTTGTTTTAAAAAATGATGCTGGTGGCCCATCAATAGTCAGACCTTCCCAGCTAGGCTTTCACCTAGCTCTGATGCCACTGGGACAGGTGCTAAAATGGCAGGATGTGGGATTACAGTTTAAGTAGAGGGAAATGACCCCCAATCATACTGACACTAGTTGAGTTAAGCACCCATGTAAATAAAGCAACTTGTGCAGTGATAATGAAATCATAAATCAACTAGCAGCACAAGGGTCAATTAACCAACCTACTTTTTAATCCTTATTTCCCTTTTATTTAAAAATTAGAGGCCCAGTGCATGACATTCATGCTCCTGCATTGAGCGTCTGCCCCCTTGTGGTCAGTGCGCATCATAGCGACCGGTTATTCTGCCGTTTGGTAGACTTGCATATTAGCCTTTTATTATATAGGAGTGATTGAGAGAGAGAGAGAGAGAGAGAGAGAGAGAGAGAGGGAGAGAAAGAAACATCAATGTGAGAAACATACTAGTAAATTGATTGCCTCCCACACGGTCCCCAATGGGGGATTGAACCTGTCACTTTTTGTTGTATGGAACGACACTCCAACCAACTGAACCACATTTGCCAGGGTTTATTATTTCCCATTTTTTACTATTTTGTTATTATGGATATTTTAGAGAGAGAGAGAGAGAGAGGAAGGGAGAAGGATAGAGAGATAGATACATCTATGAGAGAGAAACATCGATTGGCTACCTCCTACACACTCCCTATTGGGGATCAAACCTGCAACCCCAGACGTGCTCTGACCAGGAATGGAACCATGACCTCCTGGTTCACAGGTCAATGCTCAACCACTGAGCACACCAACCAGGCAATTCCCCATTTTCAAAAGGCAAAAAAAAAACAACCCCAAAACCCATACAGTGTAAACCATACAATCTCATAATATTTCTGCTGTGCTCAGTCACTAGATAGTCAAATATTTTTAAGAATGAGAAATAGCCAAGACCGGTTTGGCTCAGTGGATAGAGCGTCGGCCTGTGGACTGAAAGGTCCCAGGTTCGATTCTGGTCAAGGGCATGTACCTGGGTTGCGGGCACATCCCTAGTGGGAGATGTGCAGGAGGCAGCTGATCAATGTTTCTCTCTCATCGATGTTTCTAACTCTCTATCTCTCTCCCTTCTTCTCTGTAAAAAATCAATAAAATATATTAAAAAAAAAGAATGAGAAATAATCACCTGCATCTTCATAAGATTCCATGGAAGTGATAATTGTAAGACACATGTCTAAATCACACACATAAAGGAGAGTTATCTCACACCCAATCTTCTATTTCTTGCAAATAGGTCCCAGAACTGTAAATCATACCATTCCTTAAAGCAATGTAGACTACTACACAGAATATTTTTTAAAATATATTTTTATTGATTTTTTCCAGAGAGGAATGGAGAGGGATAGAGAGTTAGAAACATTGATGAGACAGAAACATCGACCAGCTGCCTCCTGTACACCTCCTACTGGGGATGTGCCCAAAACCAAGGTACATGCCCTTGACCGGAATCGAACCTGAGACCTTTCAGTCCGCAGGCCGACGCTCTATCTACTGAGCCAAACTGGTTTGGCTACACAGAATATTTTACAAATAAAAAGTTTTGCCCCAGCTGGTGGGGCTCAGTTGCTTGAGCATTATCCTGTGCACAGAAAGGTTACCAGTTTGATTCCCGGTCAGGGTGTGTGCAGGAGGTAACTGATCAATGTTTCTCTTACATCTCGATGTGTGTGCGTCTCTCTCTCCCTCCCCCTCCCTCCCCCTCCCCCTTCCCCTTCCCCTCTCTCTCTCTCTCTCCCTCCCCCTCCCCCTTCCCCTCTCTCTGAAATCAATGTTTGAAGAGTTAAAAATAATTAAAAATAAAATACTGAATTACTTTTGCTGGTTTATAATTAAGTAGGTAATTAAAAATAAATTTATTGAATTTTTTATGGAATCTCTAATTTGACTTTCATTATATGCACAGAATTTCATTTTGCATGCAATCTGCTGACTTTTACTGGGCATCTAGATGTCTCTTCTTCCTTCCAAACCAAGACTATCAAGAGTTAGGTACTCTTTGTATCTACAAGGTATTCACAAAGCTCCTATGTATAAGACTCTACCTAACCATAGGTAAAAAGAGCCATTAGGAACTGCTTAATGACTTCCAACCATCTACATGAAAGATGTCTAAGGAACATGAGGGAAAACGTAAAATGTGGGTGAAGAATATAGATCACTTCCAGTGTGCACATACATGGGCCTTCTGGCCACCTTGTACTATTCCGATCCCTGCAATTCATTCTAATGTGGCTCATCTCGCTGTTCCACTGAAACACTCTCTCCATCATCTCTCTTCCTCTAAATCCAGATGATATATCTTCTGGTCCCTATGCCACTTGACCTCTGAAGCATCTGACACTACCAATCACTCCTTTTCATAGTCTCTGTGACATCATAGTAGCCTAGTTTCTTCCCACCTCTTATCACATTAATGTTTCCCTTGTTTTTGCCCTAAACTGCCTCTTCTTATTCTACCTGTTTTTGCCCAGTGATCACACCCACTACTAAGGTTTCAAAAACTTTTAAAGGCTGATGATTCCCAACTTGATATCTTAAGCATCATACTCTCTCCAAGACTCCAGATATATAGCCAACTGCCTAAAACAGCACCATAAGGATATACACAAAGATATCAGTCACTATGTCCAAAAAGGAACTCCTTACCACAGCCCTTCCCCAAAGGCTTTCTGTTCTCTCCATGAATGTTACCACTCAGTTAACAAAATTAGAAACCAGGGTGTGATCCTTGACTTCCTGTTCTTGCACAACCAACTAAACAGTGTGTGAGATCAAGTGGGTCATGGTTTACACCCTGGTTCTGGCGTTTATTAGTCTGTAGAAAAGATATTCAATCCTTACGACTTTGAAGCTTCATCTGTAAAATGGCAATAACCGTAGTATAATTTAAATGGAAAACAGTCATAAGTCATGAAGCATTAGTTACTATTATTCAGGGCATGTCTGAATATTATTCTCATCAACTTCCTGCTGGTCTCCCCATAGGTCTTGCCTTCCTCCACGTCACAGCTAGAGTATTTGTTTTCTTAGATGCAAATCTGATCTTGTCTCCATCCTTTGCATAGATGTCCTGTACTGCCTTTTCTCAGGGCATTAGCCTACAACCATCTATCTGCCTGAGACACTTTTCTATTGTCCTCCCTCCCCTCTGCTTCCCAAAGTCATACCAATACCCTATATGTTGGCACCTTCCAATGACCCCCCTTCCTTAGTCCTACTGCCTTGCCTCTCCTCCTACACTGGGCTAGAGGACCGTCCACTATGCTACCACAGCAGGCTGTGCTTATCCTCACAGGAGAGCCAAACACTATACTGAAGCCACCTGTGTACCTGAAGGTCTCATATAAAACTGAAGCTCCACCTGAAATGTGCTGTTATGCCAGAGAGCAAGGAAGTACTCAAAAAATAATGGGAGCTGGTCACAGGACCTGTGAGTCAGCCTAAAGAGGCTCCCACTGGCCAAACCTGTGACAGTTTAACACTTGGAGTGGGGGAAACGAGTTAAGTCGGCTCGCGTGAATTGCGCGTACTCCGCAGGAGCCGTCTTTAACTCGGTTCATATAGATTTGCGGTCGAGTGCGGGAAACGTGTAAACTCGGGCCGATTGTAACTGCGTATTACCAAATATTTGTTTGTAATCCACCCTTTTGGTGGATGGAACAAAACCAAAAGACAGAGCCATCTTATATTTTGGCGGGAAATTCACCCCACACCGGAGTGTTAAGCACCACGATAATTAAGGATATTAATGGGTTATAGGCTTGTAGAAGAGAGGAACCCATAAGTCCATATCAATAATAGTTAAAAATACACACTTACATAGGTGGAGAAGGGAGAGCTTTTGCTTACAGTAGAATCCAACTGCCCCCTTGTGCAGTTGGATTCTACTGTAAACATGCAGAGTGCTAGAGCTAGAAAAATCATTTTGTAGCTATCACAGTATACAAACTGCTTCAAGCAAAAATCATCAATGGTTAATAAATCTAGGGAGGGGAATATGATTTAGGAGTAGGATAGATAAGTGGTCTTAATGTATCTCCCCAAAGACTTTTTTATTAGTTGCACGGGGGAAAATTTTAACTATACAGTGGATAAACTGAGCAACATCTTGACTAGGTGAATAAATTGACATCATCAATAAAGGACAGATAGCGTTCACCTCCAGATGTGATACCCCAAAAAGAACATATCACTTTATAGAATTCCAGTCATGGATGCGTAACCTGAAATGGCTCATGAGGAAAAAGACAAGCCCCGAATGAGAAATGTTATATTAAAAAAATGTAGAGAGTAGGAGAGGGTGAGAATGTCATCTTAAAAATGCCAGTGTCATAAAAGATTTAAGGCTAGAAAAATATCAGAGATTAAAGGAATAGAGCCATGACAAC